ATTCCTAACAACAACCCAATCTTGTCCATTTGTTTTCTCTAAAAATTCACGAAAATGCATGTCATGATTGGTACCGCGACTGGCACCATTTGCCATCCTGCAAATAAATAAATTCAAATTGAAATTTTCACTAATGGTTATGAAAGAATGAAATTTAACGGATCAAAAAATCACGAACTATTGATTGATTGTGAAGTGTGGTTTAATGCTTCATGAAATCATACAGGTGGTATTTCTTCCAGTTGCAAAAAAAAAAATTTTTTTTTTTGTTTTCTAAATGATTGAAAATATTTCTGTTATTTTCTTCTCACAGCAAAATTCAATTTCGATGATTCGATGACTAATTGGTGGGGTTAATTTAATTTAAAAAAAAAGTTCAAATACATTCATGCAAATGGAACAGGGAAGGTCAGCAAGTTTTCTCTAATATAATATCAGCCAAGAATTCATTTTTCTAATATAATATTAGCCAAGAAGCTTAATATAAATCTCCTAAAAAAAAAAGATAGAGTGAGTGACCGTCCTGAATGAATGGCTACTAATGAAATAAATCGAATAGATGGATATTTTATTCAACAATTAGAAATTTTGAGCTGATTTTTGAGCTAAAATTTTATTTGAGCTGATAAAACCGATCAAGTAGATAAACAGGTACAGGTGATTATCATAAAACAGCTGGAAATTCGATATTAAAATAATTGATTAAAAAAACAATTGAACTACAAATGAACTAACTTATACGAAATTGGACTTTTTAGGCCATCTCCCGGAATGGCTAAACATCGAAAGAGCACCGAATTAATCTGAAAAATATGAAACTATGCAAAAAATAATAAAAGTTAAAATTAAATATGTGATCAAGTAGAATATTTTAAGGGAACTATATATCATCACTAATATTTCAATCAGTCTCCTTTCGTCCTATCATTACAATAAATTTCGTTAGATTAATTGATCACTTCAATAGCTCAATTAATTAATCATTTCAAATATTTCAATTAATTGATCATTTCAATATCTCAAATTAATTCATCATTTCAATATCTCAAATTAATTCATCATTTCAGTATCTTAGAAATTTAAAATTTCCAAAGTTTTTAAGTAATACTTTACGAACTGATAATATGAGAAATTTCACTTCACTTACAGGAATATCTTCATCCACTGTAACAATCGTCTTACATTTATCATTTATTTGCCATTGCGGTGCACTTTGTTGCTTTTCATGGATATTTACGACAACTTGCACTGCACTTCGTTGCACAAACGGTTTCCCATTATCATCTGCTACAACATTGAAAACAAAACGATCTTTCTGAAAAAAAAAAAAGCAAAAAATAAAAATCGAGAAAAAAATTTGACCAGAAATCTGAAAATTTTCAGTTTTCTAAAATTATGAATTGAAAGCAAAAAAAAAAAAACAAACCTTCATTTTTCAGTCAAATTTTAAAACAAAAATTCAACTGCTTCTTTACAGTATCTCTCTTCAACTAATCAAAATTCAAAAATTCTAAAAATTTGGTAAAACTAACATATGGTGGAATTTGGCTGGCTAATGTGATTTCACCACTATTTTCATTGATTATTTGAAAAAATTTGAAATCTTTACGATGCTTCTTTCCAGCTAATGTATCCTGAGCTAACGAGTAGGTTATTTGCGCATTTTGTGGCGCATCAGCGTCATCCGCAAACACAGTTATCACCGAATAGCTAAAATTTTTCAAACAGGACAGATTTGGTAGTAATTTGATAAAAAAATATTTTTTTCTTTTGAAATAGCATTTTTTTAATTGTTAGTTTATTAAAATTTCTTAAAAAACATCGACGATATTTGAGAGAATTTGCAGTTTGTAATTTTTCAAAAAGTTATAAGATTTAAAAATAATTCATCCGAGATTTTTCGGGTTTTTAAGTTTCAGGAGAGGGAAAAAATCGAAAGTTTAAAATGCTTCACACATGACATTTGATGAAAATTTAGATCAGTTGCGCTAGAGAATTGCAAATTTGTATATTTATAGCAGAAGCACTCAATCAATCAATAAATCTATTTTCATCTGCCGTGTGATTTTCAATTGTCTTCTCTGTGTTGATTGATTTTTTTTTTTTTACAAAAAGCATATTTGATTGTATAAATTAATAGAATTGACGAAAATCATATTTGATTGCATGAAATAATAAAAAAAAAGTGCAAATTAATGAAATTAAAAAAAATTATATTTGAATAGAGAATGCAACAATCAATAAATGAAACAAATTTTTTGGCAGCTAAATTTTTAGATCAAAAAATGAGTTTACCCGATGTTAACACTTCTCGAAATTGAAGTTTCATAAAATGCTCGATCAAATTGCGGCGCATTATCGTTTACATCAAGAACCTGTACAGTGAATTGACAGAAACCAATCAACGGCCTTTCACCTTTATCTGTTGCCTAAAATTATATTTCATTAGCTAACATTCGCAAGACTATAATTCCATCAATTTACTTCAAATCAAATTTTTGAAAATTTACATTTAAAAAAAAAAACTTACATTCTTATTGTAACTTCTTTTTACATTTACCATAACTTACTTTTACTGTAACTTCTTCTAGCGCTCTTTGTTCACGATCAAAGCGCACAAATGGTGATGGTTTTAATTCACCGGTTTCGGAATTTATGATAAATGGTTTACGTGATTCAGACTGTGAATAGTATAATGAGTAAACAATTTCACCATTTGGTGGTGAATCTTCATCAGTTGCAACTACCTTAAATACAATTCGTGTAGCATGGTTTAAATTTTGGATTAAAAGTATTGAAATTTCTATTTTTTTTTCAACTGTTGAAATTTTAGATTAGTAAAAAATTTGAATTAATATTGATCAAGAAATGAAAAAAAATAAAAGCAAAGAAATGTAATTTAAATGCCAAAATTACAAGTAAGATATTTTGCCTTCTCTCTCTTTTATATTTATGCTAATCATAAATTGTTGAAAATGTTAACCTTCAAAATTACAGGTGCATTAGTCTTATAATCACCTTCCTCAATTTTAGCAATACTACTATAAGTGTCACACTCACGAAATTCTGGTTTGTTGTTGTTTACATCTGCGATATCTGCAAATCCCATTTTCCCGCGTAATTTACCCTTCTTGAAAATTACTTATAATTTTCATAAAATAAATAATTAAAATTCGTTTTTAAAATCTAAGATACGTAGTTAAAACCAAAAATGAAATTTTTTTATTGAAATTTGATTACCAATAATAACTGTAGCAGTTTGCATGTGAATCAGGCTTGCAACTTGTCCACAGCATGATCCATCATCACGCGCTACCACCGTTAAATTGTACGGTGATTCTTCGTGTATAAGATTTTCCGGTTTTACGTTTGCTCCAAGTCTAATCAATCCTATAATTTTCCTCATTTCATTATTAAAATTTTTAAAGCACTAATTCAATAACACATATTTAATGAACATTTGATGAAAAAGTAAAACAATAAAAATGTTGCAATTAATGGATTGAAGTATTAAAAAAATTTCCGTTTTTTTTTTTTTGTGATAATAAGTTATTATCAGAAATTTAATGTGGGGAAAAACCACTGGAACAACTTACCTGTATCACGATCAATCTCAAACAGCTCAGTTGTTAATGTTTCTTCACCATTTGATAGTAGAAATGTATAAAAAACCTTAAATTTTATTAAACAAAAATTATTTTCATTGTTAAGAGCTATCAATTTGAAAATGTAAATTAAAATGCATATTTTCAATTTCGTACTACCTGATCTCGATCCGGATCAATTGCTTGAATTTGCACTATCGGTGTACCACTTTGAGCATCCTCAGCAACGAATGCATGATAAGTTGCATTTGGGATGAATATTGGCGCTTCATCATTTGAATTTTCTGTACGAATATGCACCTAAAATAAAAATTCATAGAAAATTCAATTAAAATGAAACTTCCGAGTGCATTTATCAAAGAAGCCACTTTTTTTCTTTCCTCAGTTAAATGCCAATAATTTTTTAGTTTGAAAAAAACTGAAAAAACAACGTTAAAATTGTATGCATTTGAAATGATACGTTATAATACGTCTCGTCACGTAATCAAATATTTATAATATAAAAATAATTACTTACCACAGCACTACTACTAAGTGATGGTTCACCGAAATCAGTTGCTGTAACATTGAAACGATAGATAAAGAAGCGTTCTCGATTTTGATCTGCATCCAAACGTGTTCGAGCAGATATTTCTCCTCGATCATTGATTGTAAAATTATCATCATCTAAGCTATATTTAATTCGACCATTCTTACCATCATCTTTATCATCCGCTTGCACTGAATGTTATAATTTTAAAAAAAAAAATCCTTTTAAATTTTAAAAATA